TGGACGACACCTGGAGGACACCTGGACGACACCTGGACGACACCTGGAGGACACCTGGACGACACCTGGACGACACCTGGATGACACCTGGACCACACCTGGACGACACCTGGACGACACCTGGACGACACCTGGACGACACCTGGACGACACCTGGATGACACCTGGACCACACCTGGACGACACCTGGACGACACCTGGACGACACCTGGACCACACCTGCCTTTCTGAAGCCAGGTGGGCTGTAAGGTCCGGCTCAGGGTCCATGAGGGGCTGTAAACTTGTCACCTGACAGGTAACACGTGCACCTGTTCCATCTCTTCACCTGTGTCTCAGAGAGGCGGAGCCTGTTTTATGAGTGTTGGACCGTCATCGTTTCTGCAGAAAGTTTACATTTTTTATTTTACTTCCTTTATTTTTCATGTCTTTTATTTTGTTGAACACTTCCTGCACTGAGTCCAGAGGTCACCTGCTCACAGTGATGCAGCAGCAGGTGAGGAAGGTCACATGACTTCCTGCCTGACAGAATAATCCCTGATAGGCCAGAGCCAGGGGCAGTGATGTCATCTGATAGGCTGCAGCCAGGAGAGGAGCAGGAGGAGGAGGACACAGACCGTGGAGAAGGCAATGGAGCGCAGCGTCATCCGTCTGAGCCACTGTCAGAAGGACATCTTCTGTTTCTCTGTCCCTGAACAGTGTCCAAGCTGTGGGGAGGAACTGAGGGGGAGCAGACTGCAGGAGGCCCCCGTCAGCCTGCCCTCCCCCTTCTCCAACGGACACAAGAGCTCCTGCTGCCTGCTGGTGGCTCCTGCACACGACAACCTCCACAGGTAGGTGACACCTGCACAGGTTACACAGCTCAGAACTTCTGTTGCACTGAAACAACAAAGCTCTGATCCAAGCTGAGGAGCAACAAGAACCAAAGTTTTGACCAGTCTGAACCAGTGTAAACCAGTCTGAACCAGTGTAAACCAGTCTGAACCAGTGTAAACCAGTCTGAACCAGTGTAAACCAGTCTGAACCAG